GATTATAGCATCTTTTGTCGGCTTGTTATTTGGGCATTGCATGGATCTTGAGCTTTTGTGTCCAGAGGTGCCACAAGAAGAACAAATGACAGAGCTTGACGACGAAGACGATGCACCAGTATTCAATCTTCCCTTTTTCTTTGCTTGCTTGGTGGTAAAATCGTCTTTTCCAGAAAATTTTCTCTTCTTGACTATGTATACTACCTTCAGTAAGTCTCTAAATACATGATAATTCTACCTACTTTTAATATATTGCGGACAGAGAGGTGAGTGCTTATTCAAGTGCCCTGGTTGATGACAGTCAGTGCACGTTTTCATGGCTAGTATTAAATGTTAGTCGACGAGTAATTCTTATACAGTTTGTTAAGGAGGATCATACTTTGCTTTTGCAGCTTTTCGTTAAGTTTATTTTTTAAGGTCGTGCGTGCTAAGGGTAATAACATTGATAAGAAAAGGGGAAAAAGGCAGATTAGATAAATGTGGTCAACTTTTCTTTGAAATAGTACAAAGCCACGGCAAGAGGAAGCGAGACAAAAGGAAAAAAGAATACATGCGTTTCCTGAATAGCCCTTATTTCATATAATACAAATGAACAAGCAGCGACTGGAAGAAAGAAAAAGCAAAACTTCAACTTGATGACACTCCTTATAGCGCTACTCGCACCATGCCTTTTGTGTAAACTATTTTATTTATTCTACTATGCGTTCTTTTCTCACCCATCTAAAGATTTATTGTCCTTCTTCTAAACTTCCATTTACGTTACGTCCAAAAAAGGTAAGCATGTTGTCTACAATTTATTCCAAATACGTCCAGAAGAAAAATTAACATCGTCTAATTTTAGCGTAAAACCCTGTAGCAAATTGACAACAAAACACGCTCATAGAACGCGTCAAGCTCGATTCTTATTGATCATAAACAATCCTGTTTGCACATAAAATAACGCTGTTTGTGGTCATGAGCTTTCTCTCTTTCTTTCTTTTTTTCTTCATAATAAAGAAACTTTTTTGGCCTTCACCTGTGATTATTCTTTTCCTATAATTCGTCTATATAACTAACATTACCTTCTTAGATTTGGGGGTGTTTCTCTTGATTTTGCGATGTAAACAAAAGACTTGGATAAGAACATGATGAAACGTACGTTTGGTTTAAAGGGAGATGACTCAGGTGTTCCGTTTTTATAATGGGTTATCAATAAAACATGGAAAGGAGTAAATAGCTCAAGCCCATGAAGCAATGCAAACCATAAGAATGAAGACAAGAAATATCTTTTAGGTCACACTTGCTCTTACAATTTTCCTTGACACAATCTGTCATCAAAGAGAATATTTAATAACTGTGCAACTTTATTTTTTTATTTGCAGCATTTGCTCTTCTGGGTCATTCTTAATACCTTCTTTTTGAGCTACTGGAGCATTTATGTGAGGATTGAACCTTTCCAACAGTTTCAGAACATCAGGATAGATAATATCCTCTACTCCTTCTGCCCATAAAAAGTCCAAATGTTCCCACTTGTCAATTGATTTTACATAAGCCAGTGGTGAAGGCAGGTCTGCAGAGAGAACATTAAAGTCGACAAGTGAATCTGATCGACCATAAAAGATTGCTATCGGTGTAGTAATCTGTAAGGTAGGGAAACGAGGAGGTATATGATCTGCGGCGCCATTCTCTGAATGATAGGGTAATCTACTTGGAACTTCATCATACATTTGAAATTGACCACATCTTATGATTTGAAACCAGTGCTATTATATAAGATTTAATAGAGTCCTTCTTTTTGTTTTTGGTCCTTTACCACCAAAGACTTGACACTGGTAGTGCTGTAAAGATGCTGATAACTAACAGCCTTTTGAGAGTCAGACATGTTTCTTCCTGTCCAGCCAAACAAAAAGTGACAGCATGTATCAATGATCTTGACATAGATAGGTGGAGTTACGATACGCTGCCAGAACAGTGCTAGTTTAAGAGGTGCCTTTCTGCCAAACATCAAGTAAATGACGGCAGGTGTTGCCTTGACAAACGCGTCAATGATTGGATGCCTTAAACCTTTTGGTGTTGTAGCAGGAGCTAAAGCAATGAACAAGTTGACCTTTTTGTTCAAATCGGGATTGATTGACAAGCTGGCAAAAGCTTGAGCAGTTCCTTGCGAGAAACCAATGTAGGTAAGACTAGAAGCACCTGTTTGCTTCAAGATGTACTAACAATGTCATCAGTGTCTTTAATAAGGGTTGCTCTACAAGTCTTTTATGCTCTTTTTACGTCAACTGTATCGGGCAAGTCTCTCATAGCAAACTCATTCATCGAAAAGTTCCAAAACTGCTGTTGAGTGGCATTTAGATGAAGATGATACTGCGAGTATTTGTTACCACGAGCGTTTCCCAACCAGACGTCATAGCCTCTCTGGGCTAGCACGAACGGTAAATTTCTGTATTCGTCAATGTTGGACACCCACACTTCAGAAGACATGAGAAATCCATGGTAGAGAAGAACAACAGGCTTCTCTTGATACCCTAATGGCTTGGGATGCTTGGTCTGAACAAACTTGTCTAGATTGTTGATAATCTCTATTTCCTCTTGAGGTTCAAATTTTTTAACTTTTCGGTGTTCTGTCTTTACAGAAGGGATACGATGAACGCATAACAGATAGTTATCCTTTGTCAGAACGACATGTTGCTCACAGTTATAGTTCTTCCAATGCCTGACCATCTTTTCAAAGGTTTCTGCGTGTTCCAAGGGACTAACATGCGGCTTGGCTTCAGCGCGTGATAACCACGGAAAGTTACTATTTATCGAAGAACTTAGTTTTTAAAAGCTGTATAAACTAGGGGAATGTTACGCTTCAATCAAAGCATCCATTTGTCTGATTAGAAGCTTTGGCATGAACATGAGGATTACTCTAACAATGCTCTCACATGTAAAGAAGATTATGGTTATAAAGACGCTAATGAGTTTCTGTCAGTCGAAGCTTATATTTTGTCATTTACAGAAATACCTTTGATAATCTCTAAAAGATAAGCGATCGAGTATTGGTATGCTGACAATTGGCATCTTTAAAGAAGAGAGAAACGGTGTTTCATGCAGCAAACCTGTCTTTATTCACGATTCAAACACCGATTGCGATAATTTTGCTAATGCTTAAAAATAATCTTGTATTAAACCCAAGTGGGCACGCAGTATTTTTATACTGAAATTACCCGAACAGGTTCAACAAGGTAGGGTATATATGTGGTGGGGATGAGAAGGTACTGGTGGTGGGGGAGGAGAAAGTAAACAATCTAATGGGAGGGGTAGAGGGAGATAAACTAATCACTATAACTGGTAGGCTAAGACTTGGTGGTGTTAGGGTTCATGCTTATTTCAAGCTGGGTCGGTACCGCAATTATTCATAGTTTGTTAATTACCTTTGAATTCAATCAGTATCGCACGCCACTGCCACAAATTAAAAGACAATAATGTGAGATCTATGACAAAAAGAAAGTTCCCTTTGTTCAACCTGTAAAGATGAAGAATTAGAAAGCCCCTGACCACGGCCATTTCGACGAGCCCGCTAGCCTATAGTCTTGTGTCGCAGACTCTTAAAGTAACATATTCTTAACTTCTAAAATGTAGACAACTATCTCATTAACTCCTTTACTTAGATGTGCAAATCAAAAATATTTGGAGTTCAGAAATCAATGGAATAGGGATTTAGTAGCTGTTTTGAATTTCAAAGTAATCATGGAGAGTCATCGATAAGCACTTGGTCGCCCTTCAAAATTTCAGAAGCAAATCGTACAGTTACCGAAATGGAGACGAAAGATGTGGCACTAAGTTTTCTGAGCCGCATTTTTTTATTTGTAGTTTTAAATTAATAGCTATAAATTCAAAGCTTTCTATATTCTATATCTCTTTATAGCTTTCTAAGCGTATTGTTCTATTTTTTCTTGACTTGTGGGCGGGTTATTTTCGCTGGTTGAAGAAACTGCGAAACCAAGGGATGAGTCGTACCACATCTTTCGTCTCCATTTCGGCAACTGTACGATTGAATGTCGTTCCTAATTCAACCACTTTACAACGTAGAGACGTAGAATTTAATTTCGAAAATAATAGTAGTTCCCAAAACCAAGCCGTGCTCGGCATGGCATTGCACATTAGACAATAAAAGGAAGTTCAAACCAAAACAGCAAGACTTGGACAGCTAGATCTTGAATCTACGTATCCAGTAAGAACGACATGGCTATTTATAACCAAGACCGAACACCTTCGTCACGAGCTTCCTGAGAATCATTCGCTATTCCTGGCATACTTAATGGAACCCAGAAAACTTCGCCCACTCAATCCAATTTCAGTAGCGAACACTGTTAAGAAACACATGCAAGCTGCAGGGATAAATACGAAAGTATATGGCTCACATTCAATTCGTTCAGTAAGCAGTACGAAGGCCGCAGAAGTAGGCAACGAGATAGATAAGATAAAGAAGCATGCCAATTGGAGCCTGTCTGCCAACACATTTGAACGATTCTACTACAAACCACCTCACTAGCAAGCTGACAGCAAGAAGATTACAGAGTCCATTTTTTCTTTTTGTCCTGAAAATCATACCGCATCCTCTGTCCTCCTTTCGTCAACTGTAGTATTCAAAAAGTTTTCTACTGGTCTAAAAAAATTTATAATCTTCTCAAATGTAACCGAAAATAGTGTATTGAAGCCTCTTCCTCAAAAAAGGTCCGCTCTATGCCACCCGATAATGGCAATGATCTTGCTTAGGGTGGGCATTGATAGAGTAAACCATAGTGCAGGTAAATTTTATACTTTTTATTATCTGAAAACTAATTTTCTTCTGCCTGTATTTATTTTTCATTTCGTCCAGAAAAAGACTAGCATCATTTGAATTCAAAGTGGAAACACTGTATGTAGTCTTATCTCTTACCACCAACATTCCTTACCAAGAAAGCGAGAAAATCAATCGATGCCTGGCTCATTCGTTGGCCTTCCATATGTGCAATATTACTCGAAACGGACTACTTAGCTCACTCTCAGTTTCCTGAAGCTTCAAACCAACTTGGTGAACCCTTTATCAAACGTCTTCGTTATATTCAGCAAAAATTTTCAGATAGTTAACTATCATCCTTAATACATAATACTTCCACATTTTCCCTTTAATCCCAAAAGGGCTTTTCATTCCTTCTCACTGCGATCTGATCCGGGCAGTACAGCATGAGAATGCTATGTACTCATCGGTCATTAAAAATTATTATCAAATAAAATTATTCTTTAATCGTATGTAGTCTTATTTTAATGGTATATGTTTTCTTTTTCAAGCTAACTACTCGAAAGAGCAAAGAGAGGAAAAGCTTACAATAACTTTATTATTTAAATAGGTACATTAAAATAAATATGCTCACCACTTTGGCCAGCCTTCTTCATCTGTCTCTATCTCAGTGTCCAAAGGGTTCAGAACCTTGAGATATCGAGGATCATCAAGTTCAACATTCATCCATCTTTTAACAGTATTACTTTCCACGATAGAGAGTCTCTTGTTCAGTTCTTCCTCTGTTAAACTATTCCAGTCTATACCTGTTAATGGGTCATCCTCTGTGTTTGTCCAATATTCTTCGTCAACGTCTTCCTCGTCATCCACTCTGAGACTACTAGGGTTAGGTTCGCTTGGTGAATCCCATCCATTCATTTGCTCTTCCTGTTGCTGAAATTCATTATTTAATTCTTCCAAGTATAGTCTGTTAATCTCTTTCTCAATTTCTTCATGTGACAGAGCTAAGGTAGGTGCACTGTCAGGTAACGGCGTACCAATGCTCCATGTGCGTTCTTCATCATCCTCTTCTTCTTCGGCATCCGTAGAGTACACCTCTTTGTCAAGGAACATCCTGTAGTTTTGCTTAAAGTCAACATCCAATTCAACGTCATCAAGTGCGATTAGTTCATGTATTGAATATTCTGGTAATCCATTGGGAGCATCAGCATAAAAATATGTTTTTTCTGGTCCATGAATCTCATCCATTGAGGGCAATAAAGATGATAAATAGTGTCTTCCATTGTATAATCTGATTAATGTTCTCAAATGTTTTTCCTTCAACTATGAATAATAGATAAAAGAAAGATTAGATGCCTATAAGAAAAAAGAAATAATACTTTACTGTAGTATCTTCTGTATCCACAGATCCTTCAGATGTCGACAACCATTCATCATTTAATGAAGTTGGACAATGGGAATAGATTGCTGATACTGTCTTCATATTGGCTATACAATTGATATATGTTGTTGATAAAAAAAAAGAGGAATGAAGCATAGAATACTTACATGATCTCCATTTACGGCCAAGATATGGTACTTGATTCTTCAGATTCTTCAAGACATACAAGCTTACTGTAGGGTGTCCAACTTTTAATAGCTTTTTTAAAATGGCCTATATCAAAATAGATAAGTAATGAACTAATAACGTATGCTCAACCCCTTACAGATGATTTATACTGCACCAAGAGCAGAATACGTTGTGCCTTGCCTTTACTAAGCATTTGTAATATCCTTAATAAATTGATAGTCCAGCATAAATTCCTCTTGTTTGTATATCCTCTGTCCCCTTGGTCATCATCCTGGGGCTTCAGCTGCTGCACATAGCCGAAAAAGCTATAAAACAGATAAATATGTTTGTTATTCATAAATGGGCTATGTATACCTTTGGCTATCATCATCCGTCTTTCTTGAAGCCAGTAAGCCAATCTCTTGTAATCCAAGCAACTTTAATATGAGAAGCATACATCCGGAATCAATCAAACTCTGTGCAAAATATTCAAATTCGAATACATCTAATGTATCATTTGTTATTAATAAGTTGCATTCATATACTTTTACTTACGAGAGACCTTAAACCATTTCAATAGAAGCAATAGTATGCCTGATACAGCTTTTGACACAGTTTCTCTATTTCTAGTAACATTCACATCTTCCATTATTTCAGCTTCCTTATCCTTCCCTGTTGATACAACGGATAACAACATCTTCAATACCACAACGACTATACTATGAAAATAGGGAACGATGGATCTATACAATTGCTTTATATATTCCAGCTTTGACTTGTGTGTGTCATTCAAGTGCTTCATCCATTTATCGTCGTCGTCGTCATTTTCATCTTCAATTTCATCATCTTGTTGTTGTTGTTGGTTTTGTTGTTTCTTTTTCCATAGTTGCCATCTATTTATGGCCATCTTTCTTTCCCGAATAGTTTGATAATTTGTTACTGAAATATATAAATGATCTAACCAAATTTGATTTGCCTCTAATAGGCTGTGGGGTATCATAGATCCAGGCATTATTAATGGTAGCAAGTTGGCTTCTTTTATTCTTTTATATTCCTCCTTTGCTGCATGCTGTTGTTGCTGTTGCTGTTGTTGAGATAATGTATTTTTGGAAGGAAAGATGGTCTGAAATGGCAGATCAGTCTTATTTAACTCTTCTACTAAACCCATCAGTTGAACCAATCTTTTTGTAGGTGAAATGATTAACGAGTCTTTTAACAATTTTGATGTTGGCTTTTTTGGTATAAATGTGGGATATCTGTCACTTGAATGCTGATAGAACGCATATAGGTCCTCTGGTGTGCATTTTATAAGCTTTGATTTATCCTGATAGATAGGTAATCCATAAGCCTGACGTACGCCCTTCTTCATATCTTGATATTCTTCATTCAAGTCCCCAAGTGTGATCAATAGAGCCTTCCAGATAACCAACATCAGTTTCTTTAATGGAAATATTTTTGTAAAGTGCTCTTTCAATCGAACAATGAGGTGAAATAAGGATTCAGCTACTTGATATTCTTGTAGGGATGTACTTTCTTGCTTATTACATATGATTACCAGGTACATCACGGTAAGATAGATATCGAATTCTTTACAAATAATATTGACTGATTCTACAGAGGCGCTTCTATAAACATATGTTAGCCATCCTGTAGATCCTTTTACTCTTTTGTTACATTTCTATCTGCTCGCCTGCTTGATTAAGTAATTTTTTCAATATCGAGACAACATCCATACTGAACAATAACTGGTTATTGTTTCTAATCCTTTCAATGTGATTTTCCTTTTTTTGTCCCATAAAATCATCGTATGTTCCTATCATAATATGTTATGGTTGCCCATTTTAATATTGTTGTAGTATAAAATACCAAGTGATATATATGCGATGCTTTGTAAAGTAGAAACACGCTTTTCTTCGTTTTCTAAATCATCAATAGCTTGTTGAATAAACCCCTTTTGTTCATCTTTTGTTGACTGATTCCAGGCTAGATTAGTTTAATTAAAAGGCTCTTTTTTTTTTTTATTGTATTTACTTGGGAATTTAGTATTAAACTCTTGGTGATATGTCTTTAGTTCAGTTTTTATTTCTGAATATGAAATGAATTCGTTGATTTC